AGAACGGGGTGAAAATGAAAGGTTTACGGGGTCGGAATGAAAGGTTTACGGGGTCGGAATGAAAGGCTGCAAGGTCAAAAAGGCAATTCGCAGGGGTTGGAGAGGCAGGGGCTAGAATGGGAGGTTTCCAGTAGAACGGGGTGAAAATGAAAGGTTTACGGGGTCGGAATGAAAGGTTTTGGGGTGAGAATGAAAACCTGTTGCCCTTGGGGTTGGCGTGAAAGGGGCTAGAATGGGAGGCTTACGGGGTTCCAATGAACGGTTTTGGGGTCAGACGGTTTGCGGTTTGCAGGGGCAAAAGGAAGTGTGCATAAGGTAGGAGACAGGGTCGATATAATATGGTGTCGGGGTCAAAAAAAGAGGTAGGGGTTAAAAAAAAGGGAATGGGGTCAATTAAATAGGCTCCCCCTTGCGAAATCACGGACATGGAAAGCTTGGAAGAACTGCAGTTTCCATGTTCTATAGACCCCCTCATAGATAGAAGTTCGTAGATCCCCATGTAGAAAATGCATTGGAAACCGTGCCACATTTTTTTCATACTCTTTGGGACCAGTCAAGATCATGCTTTCAAACGTCGACTGCTCCCATCTGCCATTCAACGTCATCTGTTGCCATTGACAACCACAGTACTCGCAGTACTGAGGGGGTTCATGTCCCCATGTTCGTCCCTAAGTTGAGTCATCCTCTCGTCACAGAGGCAAAACATATCGCCGAGCAGGCCGCGTGGGCCTATCTACAGCCCATGGGTCGCAGCGTTTTTGCAACATCCTCCAGCATTGGTGTAGCGTGGCACTTAAAACATCTGAAAAAGCCATCCACTTTAGGTCCACTTTCTGTGGTCATTGCTATAGCAAGCGATGAAACAACTAGTCAAACATAGTCAAACAATTGTTCATCAGGCTTCTCCCTCACATGACATATTTGGGTCTTCAAAGAGCTACTTTGACTCCTGATGTTCCAGTTGATTTCTATGCTTCTCGACCAGGTGCTAGGGTGGGTGCCGCGCGAACGAAGGCGAAGAGGAGAAAAATGACGAACATCTCCTAGGCAAAGTTGAAGAGGCACGTGCAGGTGAAACTCCCATGCCACGGGACAACAGTTTGAGTTGGGCGTTGCTTTAAAGCTGTGTTCTTCTACATGATTCACCAACGTTCACCAGCCAGAACTCTCCCATTTTGGTAGGGGGCCAAACAGATCCTTTCTGCAGTCATCATGCGAGTTCCGTACCATCCATGACTTGCATCCAGTCGCGTTTTCCGAGCGGACTCCGAAAACGCACTCCCCATGCGCCACCGATGACTGAAGGTCTCTCTTGGGTCCGTGTACCATAGGCGTGTGGGACTCAGAACACAAGAACGTCTGAGAAGGTGAAGATAGGCTGAAGGCCTCTGTAGTGTTCTTCATGGCTCAAGGACCCACGGTTCGTACCCCGGTCCGACCCGGCCAAAATAGGCTGAACAAAAGTCACGGACGCTCCTGCATCTTTGTAGGGCAACACATGCATTATATAAAAAACAGTCAAACCTGCTCCATGGCCAAACCCTCGGGTCTTGGCTTTCGAACACCTAACCAGGCCCAAACCGTTTCGTTTCTCTCCCAAGTCGACGCCCTCGCACCGACGCCCTCGCTGGGTACTCCGACGTTGGACCTCGCACGGCCTGTTCGGCGCGGAAGGAACGGAAGACCGCGGTCCGGGTGAAGCTGACAACCCGAAAAGGCAGCTCGTGCTGTGCTCCATTGGGCGGAAGTGCTATAGGTCTTCTATGTTCCTTTATGTGTCCGTTTTTGGTCACAAAAGGCGAACGTTAGATGCTAGCTATGCTAGTATGCGAACAACTGAAGTGAAGAACCGAGGGCCTACTTCAGGTCGTTGTAGCTCAGTGGTCATTCAGCTGATCACCCTTCTTGTGGTGCCCAAAGCGGTGGCGCTTTCAAAAGAAGGGGGCTCCGGATCTTGCAGTGAAATGATCGATGTCTTCCGGTCATGCGGATATATGGCCAGTATTGAATTGATTACCATATATTACCATATATGACCATTTCCTGTCTACTACGACTTGCTCCACTATCGCCACTGAAATATGAAATGCATTATATAAATGACAGGACTTCACAGTACAGAAATCCAACACTACCAGCCTACCACTCGGATCCTCTGACGGCCTCTTCCCGGCCCAGCCTGTCGCTTCACATCCACTCCCAGCAAGTCCACGTGATTTGTTGCCACACATGGCGAGCTGCTGATCGAAGATTGAAGTCGTAGGCTTCAATCTAAGAAAAAGACATGAGAAACTATATGATATGGTGTCTTAAGAAGCGATCGATGAATTCGGTTCCAGGCTTGCGATTTCGGCGAATTCGTTGCGCATTCATTGCTGCTTGGGATTCCATTTGACGATGATCTTCATTGATCGATGAAGAATCCATCAATTCCTGTCATTCACATGCACGCCCCCTTGGTCGGCACGGCGGTATGCCATGATCGGCGCGAGACGGGGGAAAAGGCCCCTTAACGATGGTGAGACTCAATACCCTGAGGGAGATGACCCCTCCGGAGAGGCTAGGTTTTGAGGTCTCCAGTGGTTCTTTTTTTGGCCACCCCTGCCGTTGCCCTCAAAAATCGTCCCGGATAAAAGACTATTCAAAACAAGCCAATAGCAGGGGTAGCCCTCTCGTGTTCTCCTACCCTTTGAGTTAGTGCCTTTTAGAGGGCAGTTGCCTGCTACAAAGGCAACCGAGAAGAAAAGGTGAGCTCCTGCAGAAACAACATCAATGAGATTCCAGGCGACCAATTCGGTTTATACCAGCGCAGCATCGCTATCAATCCCCAGCCTCAATACAAAGCACCTCGTCTCGTGTGGTTGATGGGTGGGTAGCCCCGCAGCTCCACAGCGTAGGCAAAGCCAACGAGCGACCACAAGAAGATGTCTGACGTGTTAAGGACCAGACGGCGAGAGACGCCATGCACACCGGTTCTCCGGTGTCCTGTGTATGTATATAACTGACTGTTCCCAGAGCGGATGATGATGGTTAGGAAAGGCCTTTCACTCAGATAGTGTTGGGACACTACCACCAGTTCTCTGCACCAGGGTCTTCCCTCTCTCCAACAAAAATGGAAGTAGACAACCCCCTTGTTTGTAGAGGACTTTTTTTTTTTTTCGTAGTCGTAATTACACTTTCATGATTCTTGGAGGAAGAGTAAAGCCCCCTCAGAACTGTTGGCTCAAATACAGACTGCTTTTGTGCTGTTCTTGGGCCACTTCATTTATATCGACCACCACTTGGGATGCGAGCCAAGTGCGCTAACGGGGATCTCTTTCACACCGTTCTTCAACGCAAAAGTGTCTGACGTTGGAACTCGAGTTACCTGCCGGACATTGGCGCGTCTGGTTCCTGAACATGCTCTTGGAGACCCTGAAAGCTATCTAAAGAAATTGGCCTTTTTTGCCCTGCCTTTCGCGCAAAGAATCCTTTCCCAACTCTTTCCAGGGCCCCCCTGCGCGGCTGCCATTGACGATCGACCACCTTGGTTGGAGCTCCACAATTTCGGGGCCAATGCATGTCTGTCAGTTCAGGCGGGAACCGCAGCTTTTGCATGCTTTTGCTGAGATGTGTGAGATAAGATGGGTCTGAGCCAACCCAGAAAACAACAAACTCAGATTATGCTGAAGACTGTTTGACCAGGAAATGTTCACTTATATCCGTTTTGTGGCATCTCAGTCTTGACCCGCACCCTCTTGCAGGATGAACAGCAGGTTCCTTTGCCAGGCGGCCAAACCAATGTATTTGCTGGACTTGGACGATGAGCCGAGTTGGGCTGATCATCTATGCATATCCATAGAACATTCCTTACAGAATAGCTGCTTAAAATGGATCCTAGGACGCCCCCATTTGTAAGTCAATTCTCAGTCACCATGGTTGCCATGGTTTTGTCGTTTTCTCCGGATTGGGATGCTACGCGGTGCTCACAACGAGCAAAGCGCTCTAGTGCCGCCCTGAGCAGCCCTGGCGTTCTTGCACATGAGCACTGCAAGGTAACGTCCCTGAGGTTCGATCGAGGCATCAGCCTCAGGCCAAAGGAAGATAGATCTGGAGATGACTCAGATGACCACGAAACCCCATCTGAAGATCCCTTCCCTTTCATTTCCTGCAGGTTCTTCTTCGGAGATTGAGAGGGGTAGATATCATCTACAAAGAGAAATGCTTGAGAGCTGCAAGAGGGACAAACAAAATCACAACGCAGTCAAGTGGCATAAGCCTCCAAGAGCACCGGAACAAACCCTGGACGGCTCCTCAGTCAACGCTCCCGCTCTGCTTGGATTTGTTGAACTGGTCTGGTCATGTTGTCTGCAGCTACCTCGCCCTCCTAAGGGGTCTACGAATGGCCCAGTAGAGATTAAGGGTGTCTATGAACCACCCCTTGAAGGCCCTGGTATGTGCAGCTCCTCACATTCACGAATCAAATGTTATTCGATGTTGTTCGAGGTCGAGGCGGCTGCTTTGGAATGTGAGAGCATGCACAGCAAGACCGACAGTTCAGGCAAAACGGAGGTGTCTTCTGGCACCAGCTCTGTAGGTGCTCATGTACAGAATGTTGAACACCTTAAAAATTCCCTATGTTTGCTGAAAAAGAAATCAGCACACCGACTTTCTTCTGTTCACTTAGGAGCTTCCATAAACCGGGTGGAAACATCTTTCCCGTCAGGACATGTCCCGCCTTTGTCGGGACGGTTTGAACTGCAACCTTCTGTCTTCGTAGATCTCACACGTTTTTCAAGTTGAAGGGAGGACCACCAAGAAACAAACACAGGCCGACTGGTGAAGACACCAGTCGCTGTTTTTGCAATTCCACTTCCCTGAGAACTGTCAAGGCTTTCACCTCATGTTTCACCCTCCACAGTTGAAGGGCTTCCCCTTCGGTCCCAAGTAGCTCAAGTTCTTGGAGCCGCTCTTGCGCCGGCACACGCACCTGGCGCGCCAAAGTGCCGGCGCCACGCGCCACGTGCGGCGGGAGAGGGTAGTAGATGGGGAAGGCCCAAAGGTGGGTGGGGTGGCGACCCCAGGGGTTTATTTTTCGGGTGTGTCCCAGTAGAGTTCGGAACAATCAGCAAAAGAGAACAACAACCGATGTGTTGAATTCAAAAGAGAACACCACCGCCAATTTGACTTCATGGATCTTCCCGGAATTGAAGTCAAATGCCTCCGGCACACCACGCCCGAACACGCGCTGGCTGAACGCCCGCCCCGCCACCCTGGCGTCGCCGCTGGCGGCCGCGAGCAGGAGCTGGGCGCACTGCGCTGCTGGAGACGCCTGGGGGCGCGGAGCAACGCGGGATCTGAACCGGAGCGGCTCGAAGAGCGGGAAAATGGTTGGAAAATAGGTTGTAGGATCATTTGGATCTATTGTGGATACTTTGGATGTGGTTCCTCTGTCAGGGATTTCTGTTGAAGTTCGACACTCGCCAAACGCCGGGTGGGCCAATAGCATCATCCTTTCGATCGTTCTGGGAGTTGCACGAACATATCTAAAGCAAAAGCCGCCGGTGGAGTGTCCTGGTTTCATCTGGGTAACGTGATTCTCTATGTTCTCCAAATGCCCCCCGCCCCAATCTCTTTTCTTCTTCGAACCCTGCGAAGAGGTCAGGTCTGGACGGATGCGGAAGTTGGGCAGTCCTGACTGGTCCGGCCAGTCGTCCGGCTTGTGCCAGCCACGGCACGCCGCCTCTTCGGCTCCTTCACCGTCCAAGCTGAGACGACCGACCTGGCCCGACCGACCTCATAGGATTTTGGTCACCAGACCGTTCAATGAGGTCCAGACCTGCTTTCACATGAGTAGTTTGAAGCTTTGGATCGGCAGCGATCCACCTGCAGCCTGCAGGACCCGAAAACAAACAACAAACAACCCGATGAAAATAGTCGACACGTTTCACGCGCACCATCCTGAGGCAGTTTCCAACACAATCCCACACCTGGAACCTCAAGCGATCACCTCTTTTTGATCGGTTTTGAGGCGCCGCACAGTGTTGGTGTTCTGATGGTAGCTGCTCCAGGTGCCAGGTATACCAGAAGTATCTATATACAAACAGATATATACCTAGACCACGGTAATATTAGGCTGTATGTTCTTAATGTTCTTAGCACTTTGATGTTCAGTCTGAGACAGAAACCCCCAAATCGTGATTCCCCAAAAAAAGTAATGACTGGTTGGTAAAATCATGTAAAGTAGCTAAGTAGCTCTACAACCCTTCCGTTCCCTCCTCCTTTGATGGCAGGGCTTTCTATTGAGGAACTTGTTTTCCAAGAGCTTAAGGTAGCTTAAACCCAGGTACCAAACGAAGTGGCTGTTTAGGGAGTGTCTTCAGCAAGCAAATGAAGACCTTTTCCGTTCAAGTCCTGGAGCTTTGTTCGGTTGCAGCACCGACAACGCTTCCCACAAGGACGAACCGCTCCAAAGGTGCAGGAGGAAACAAACAGGAGGCCTTCGCCCAGGCTGGGCTATGCCAAACAGCATCAGACTTGTTGACACATCGAACATGAACTTGACTGATTTTGTCATCCCCGATGACACCGCTTCGGCATCATATTGCGCCTGCTCTGCGTTAATATTGCGCCCGGTTTGCGCTGTGTTTTTAGTTGTTTCTTTTCTTTTTTTGTGTTCTTTTTGGGTTTCTGCCTCGTGTTTTCAAGCGATGCGTTCTGTTCTTGAGCTTTTCCGGTTTCAGACAAGAGAAAACCAACGTAAAGCTAAGCACTTTCAAGCTTGAAAGGCTAGGTTTGGAACAAGTCTATGCAAAGCAGGTGTTCAATGCCCTAGCTCTCAGGTTTGTCCTTTTCTACAGAAAATCTGCAACCTGATTTCGTCTAATTGAACCTGAAGTGGAAGAACATTCTGCCACTGCTCTGGCACCCGCAAAGAGTGGGCACCGCAAAGGTAAGGAACTAGGCACCTTGTATGAGCCTCCTAATCCGAAGAACCATCTCCATCCAAGATTGAGAATGGAATTGTTCTCTAACTGCATGTGTATTGCTTTTCGTTGTGATGGGTCGGGTGTTCGATTTTCTCACAAAGTATCTTTCATCCCAAACTCGATCAAATGCGTCTCACATTCAGCTTGTCGAGGCACATACTTTTGTTCAAGCGAAGCTCAAAAAACGTACATCCCAGGAAGCTCAAGGTATATTATATATGATATTATATACATGTTGAGAGTCCGGCGGTCAAACCATGCGAAGCAATGAGTAATGTGTTATACAGTACCTGATTATATACCTGCATGATCCTGTATGTATGTGCCTCTACTTGTTATCTTTCCAAGCAATCTTGCGACCTGCGGGTGGATGATGTGAACCCTTGCACCTCCAATCCTTTGAAAAGGGACCCTCAGGCCATACGCCCCCAAGCTCTGCAGTCTGAGCCCCCAGGCCATGTTGATGTGCGCCAGTCAACGCCATACGAACGATCCGTGACGCCGATGGCGGTTCCTTCGGAGTGGCCTTGGATTGTTGTGTCCAGGGCTGGAACAGACCAGATAGCATTGGAAGAATTGCAGCTGCAAATAGCCTTATGTTGAGGAAGTGCCTTCACATGTTACAGTATATCTTTTGAGCTTTTGCTGGGATGTCATGTGAGCTCTGGCTGTGATCTTCGTTGAAGCAGACCTCTTTGAAAGATCTGTTGATCGGTCTCTTCTGGTTCGCCTGCGGTTCGGTGAATGCTTGAGACAGTAGAAGCAGAATACCTTATGAATACCCTGAGACAGAGATACTAAAGGGGGTCTTGGTCCGGAGACGGTGGATGAATCAATGAATACCCTGGGAGTCCACTCGACCATTTTCAAAACATGGTCTGACTAGGTGACTATAATATTATATATATATATATTGACGACCTTAAGCAACAAGAACCGTTATTCAAAAGCGGTCAGTACAAAACACAATGTTGTTTCTTGTTGAAACTGAAAACCCGATGTTATTGAATATAATGTGTTTCAGGATGTTTCACTGACCCCTTTCTCATCCTGTCTCGCCATTCCGCTCACACCAAGCTACAGAATTCAGGCTACGTGCTACAGAATTTGTCAAGCGTGAACCGGTTGGAAGGCCTCCCAACATATAAGCAACAAACATGATTGTGTCTTCAGGTGTGTATGAACCAACCGACATGCAAAAAGGTTAAGAAAATCTTTGAACACATGTACCATGGGAAGGTTCAACAAAACCCATTAAAGACAGAATTACGGGTTAGTATGGGTAAAACACAGGTTTGGGACGGGTTGCAAAAACATCATGTTTTCCAAATACCCAAGGTATTTGTTGAAAAGTACGGGTTAGTACAGGTATGGCACGGGTTTGGCACGGGATTGAAATCTACCCGTTATTTTTGGATTAGAGTATGTCTGTCTCAGGTGTCAAGATCTTGTGTGATGTTCTTCACCACTGTATAGTCAGAGCAGAAACTTTCTACAAATTATGTAATTGTTGTTTTTGATTCTCCTTATGCAGTATGTGAAGTCGGTGGAGGAATGAAATTGGACCTGGGAACAAACAGAAGCCCGTTCAATGCCCTTATTCATCAACAAAAGCCTCTTAGAATGTCAAATATATTCAAATATAAAAGGTGTTGGAACACCCCATTGCCATGTGTTTTGACAAAACCCGATGTACTTCAAAATGTGTGTGAAAACCCGATGTTTTTGCGTTCACCCCTTTAAAAGAACTGGTTTTGGTGCTGAAGGTATAGATATATATATATATATATCTTCAGAGTTCAGCAATGTCCCTTACTTCCGTGGTGCCAATAATAGTCGAACAGGACTTCTAGGGAATCAATACCCACCTACCAGAGTGTGGGTGAGATGGTTTTCAAACAGATCTCCTTCCTTCGTGATGGAGAAAACCCCCGTTCGTGATGATCGTGGACACCATCCACTCGAGGTCGCCCTATGTAGAACAAGAAGACATTGGTCGGTAGTTCAACATAACCTTATTTAAGTCTGTGAACCACATAAACATCCGCAACCAAAATTAACATCCGCTTAAAAGAAAAATCGGGAAAAAACGCCTGTGGCTCATCAATAAGCACCCTTAGCATGTAATAATATAAACGCCCGTGGAATACCACAAAAATATCAGAACACTAGAGAAACATCCGCAAACTCAAATATAAGGCTGTGACACCAAAAGATGTTTTTCACACCGCAGATTAAAAACAAACAAACAAACAAGCACTCTGAGGAAGTTCCAGGTATACGTTTGGACTCACCCCAGATTGCCAGGGTTTGGAACAGGATTTCTGTGGCCTAGTGTGGAAGGCATTCATGTGAGAGTGGCCAAGTCTTAATCCCCACATGATGAGCTTACTTAACGTTTCTTTCGGAGAACCCGTTACTGCCAACTCCGTCCATCTGTTGAACCAACGGTACCGACTGTACTACGTACTACCGATGTTTCATACACTCCCGAAAACTAACATGGACCCGGGTCGAATGGCATCCTGAAAGACTGCTTTCCTTCACAAACCAGTGGTTTTCAGGGTCCATGTTAGTTTTTAGCGGAGTAGATGCCCTCTCAAAGCCCACGAGCAGCTCCCCGTGAGCTGCTCAAACCCTTTCTTTGCCAGAGATCGGTTCCGGCGGTCAAAGAGATGTTCCGTCGCTGATTCTCAGCTGTTTTCGAAGGGTCAGCTAGCTGCTTCAAAAAATACGGACCACATGGCCCGGTTCCATCTTCCATCGACAGTGATGGCACTGCAAACTTGCGCATCTGCCTGTATGTCTTTTCCATGTGAAAAAGTGTTTTGTTAGATTCTCTACGTTCTTGGGTGTCCGTCTCAAAAGGTGTGCAGCTTGAAAACACGTCTGCTGCTGCCCTGTCTTTTTTTGGGTGGAGCCGGAGCATTTGGTCGGGGTTGCCGGGGTGGACTGCTTTGCCCTGAAATCCTTCCAAAGGACAGCTGCATAAAACGATGAGTTCGTAGAACATGAGCTGAATGCAGTCGTTTCCTTGATGGATGGTTCAGAGGGTGGACCCTTCAGTGGTATGTCACGGTATGTCTTGAGTTTGGCTCTGATGTCTTCTGATCCAAGTTTATTCCAGCCCCGGCTCCCCATCCGAAGCATGAGCACTGCCGCTCTTGAACTTGGGAGCACTCGGCAAACAGCCCCACCATTGGGGAAATCGATGCGCTACGATCCATGGGCCTCAGGGTAATCTCACAAGTTCGGAAGTTGTTCCTTGTTACTAGTAGCTTCTTGTTTCTAGTTACCTAAGTTACTAGTAGTAATGGCCTCCAACCTACTAGCGATGGCCTCCACCTAGTAGTTTCTTGTTGCTGTTCAGCCAAAAATCCCAAGTCCGGACTTGGACCTTCGCAAGTCCGCCTTCATCAGACTCGTATCTTTCTCCGCGGTGGCTTGCACTGCAGTCGGACTACGATGAGATACCTTTTCAGGCGAGCCTTCCCCGACGAACCAGGCGCTGTCTGAATCTGATTGATTCTGGCAGTCTTTTGACGACATGCCTTAAGGCAAAAACAGAAGCATGTAGAAGCATGTTCTATCTATACATTATAATATATTTATCACTTTATCATAATTTATTTAAGATTGAAGAGACAATGTATGCGCTTATATGCACACTTGCACCCCATATTGGCCGTTCATATTGGGGGAAACCCTAGCGGACAACACACGGACAGAACCTGCAATTTCTACATGGAATGTGGCCTTGCCCTAACCCCTAAACTAATGAATGAATTCGTGGGGATGAATCAAAACCTTGAGCCCCAACACCATGTAGCTTGACCTCCCAGGCAGTCCAGGCCGCTCAGTTGGGATGGTCAACTAAGGTATCTGGAGTTGACCCCTAGCCATATGGCTGTGCATCAAAAATCAGGGGGCTTGTCCACGGAACATGAACAGATTCCTTCCATGCTTTGGGATGTCAACCTTCCGCGGTGTCATGGGGGAGCCATGCCCTAACCCACCAAGACCACATCCCCACCAGCAGAGACTCTGAAGGACATGGAAGTACTCAGAGACTCCCGAGGTCCTTTGCTTTTCGGATCTTAAACCTTTGGGTTTTTCGTACATCCAAAAGGATCCCAAAAGAACTGTTTGGGTCTGCTTCGCCATGCTTCGCCTTGGCGGACATACCAGTCGCCCAACGAAGGAAGATGTGATGTCCGTCGGCCGAGGAAATCCCACTCTGGATGTTGGGCTGCGGATTGGGAGACACCCATGACCCCATCCTCAATCGACCAAATGGACTAACACCCTGGGGTTCTCCCTAAGGAACAGTGCACGGTCCCCACATAAGGCAACAAAGGAAACCAACGACCTGTTGAAAGGATCTGCCGTGTTGTCCAATTCCTTGTACTTGTTCCCCGCAAGAAATCACAGTCGGCAAAGGTTTCTCTGTTCTCAAAACCACACGTTCATCCGGCGTCCATCGCTTGTATGAAGAGAACAGGAAAGGCTCGCCCACGACTCCAGCGTAGCGCACGAGAACAGCAGTTCTCTCCTGTCGCAGCAGGACCGAAATTAAAGTTTCCTGCAACTGTTTAGTTTGGAGCTGAGCCTCAATCTGTTATCTTTGGGAGTGTAGAAAAGTCGACAGGAGGTATTGATCACCCTGGAGTACCTGGAGCTTTTTTAGAGCGGTTAATGGGAGACCCATCAACAGTGCAGGGTTTTCCTTAAAAAACAAGTTCAAAGTCCAATGGCTCCTATTTACACCACACACTTCAACCTTCTTGAACAAGGCTCCCCCCAGCAGATGGGACAGGAAGAGACATTTATGGCATATTCTACTTGTCATCTGCTTGTTGGTGTTAGATTCTCCTTCATGTCCTGAAGGGTTGGTAACATGAACAACTTCTATATATGGCCCGAAAGCCGGCCAGGGGCTCACACCTGAGGAAGGGAAGGGCGAAGGAAGAAAAGGGAAGAAGGGAATGGGGAGAATCAAGGAAATCGTAGGGCAGGGCAGTTGTGACTGCAGTGTTGGCGGTGGTAGTAGCGGGTGGGTGGTGGTTGTTATTGGTGTTGTGGCTGTGGCTGTGGCTGTCTGTGGCTGTGGCTGTTGGTGTTGCTGTTGTTGCTGTTGTTGTTGTTGTTGATGTTGATGTTGATGTTGATGTTGATGTTGATGCTGCTGTCGTTTTTGGTGTGGTTCTTGTAAATATGGCATGGAAGAGGGGTTGGCATGTGGACTACGCTGGTGGCGAATCTTGTACGTGAGCGTTGCTGCTGCTGCTGCTGTTGTTGCTGCTGTTGTTGGTTGTTCGTTGTTGCTTGCTTGGCTGGCTGGTTGGTTGGTTGGTTGGTTGGTTGGTTGGCCACCTATATGTTGGACTGGTTGTTGTTCCAGAAAAAAAGTGAAATGAAAAGCAACATAAACGGAACGCAAATAATGCATGGCAACCCGGGCAGCATAGCTTGCATCACCAATATTTTAACCAGCATCTTGGACAGCTCGGGGGGGCACAAAAACATCACAAAACAATGTAAATCAACTTAGGTGGGGGTTTTAATGAGGCCTGCCCCTAGTTCGGGAAATCGACACAGTGACGACACAGTGTCCATGAGCATCGCACTAAGACCGTCTTCATGCAGTGAATGATTCGTCATATGTTCACGTGAACGATGCCAATTCGATTTATAACTAATTCCGTGACACCAGCAACCACACGTATTAAATTACCATGTGCAGTACGTATCTTCACCTGCGGTTGATGGTTCATATCTCCTCCACCCATTCTGACGTGTGACTCGTGGCTGATCGTGGGACCCAAACGTCCGCGAGAACGGGTAGAGAAACGTTCGGTCGGGTATCCTCCCGGATTGAAAAGACACACCCGACCGGTGATGCCAAAACGGTGTGTCACTTCCAATTCGGAGGGCCTGGGTGGTGGGAAACTGGGCGGAATGGATGTGACATGACAGGGGCACCCTGCCGTGATGAACGGAACCGGCACCCCGAGCGACATGTGACTCCTAGCGACAGGTACACTGATCCATCAAGCAGCAAGCAGGGCGGATGTGCCCTTTCGGTCCGAGTCCAGAGTGGACATGTACGTCTTTTCCCCCAACGGTCTCAAGTGAACGGAACGGAATGGTCCCAGAAAATCCATGGTTGCAGTCATACTAGCTGAAAAGCGCAGGAGCAGTGATAGTTGAAGAACCTTATCCCGCAAATTCCTTCTTGAACAGAAACGAAGCTCCTTGCACCTTGCACCGCTATGGTGCTTTGCGTCTTCAAGAAAGGTGCGGATGTTTGACACTTGGATGGCATGGCCCCAATAGGATGACCATGGTTCCAAATACCAAACAGGTAGGGAACTCCACAGCATGATGATTTCAGGTAGGGAACTACACCCATTTACCCCAACCCAATGACTCATCCAGGGGCTTGATGTGTGTTCAAATTGCTTTTCGGCCCTTCTGAGCCCATTCCGCTCGTCCCTGAACCCACTCTGGCGAGCAGCCTCATGGCTCTGTGATGCTCTAATAACGGACCATCCTCAGTGGGCAGTCAAACCTGAACTCAGTCCAGTTCTCAAATTAAAGAACTTCCGTCATCTCTATCCATCTCTGGAATCACGTTTCTTGGGTCTTCCGAAAGGATGCCTTTGAAGCTCCTTTCGAGTCTTTGGTTTTTGGGGCAAGACGAACAGCGCCGGACAAGGGCGGATGTCTTCGTCACTATTGGTGAACATTGGATCGTTCATAGGATCTTTCACCAGGGGGCACCAAAGCTTCCATATTCTTGAAGGATGATACGGTCATCCCCAAAGGGTGCCAGGGTCCAATAGAAGTGTCCTTACTGAGACCCAAAACCACATATGCATGGCCTGCATGGCATATATTGATCACCCAAAACCACACCCAAATCCAAAGAGTCCCATGGAAGTCCCACCCATCCTGCATAACTACTGGATTGTACAGCTTTGGATAGCTTCGCTTTATCTTATTAAATATATATCATACATATAATTACATGATATTACGTGATATACCATACACCAAAAATCTATACACCATATATTCTACCAGTACATACTTATAGACCTATAACTAAAACCATCCGGATCTCAATCTTCATCCCTCCCCTCACATCGATCGCCTCGTTCACCTCACGCGTCTCACGCCCGGTCCGCTGGGTGTCCCGTGCTGCGTGGCCTGGCGCAGGATGTAGAGCTCCGGCATGCCGTGCAAGGGACCAAGCCCCGTCACCGAGATCTGGAGAAAGGGCGAAGCGGACCGACGGAGCTGAGAAGGACGGGAGAGACGGAACGGACGGTGACGAACGGAGAGGACGGATGGTGCTTTTTGTTTGGGGAGAAGAAAAGGAGGGGAGCACCCGGATGAAGCCAAATCACATGGGTGTGAAATGGTTGGAAGTTTGAAGCGCTCATGAAAGAGATCTGTTTGCCGTATCCCTCATGTCAAAAGCAAACCACAGAGGTGATGAGCTGCTCCAGTCCTTCTCCTGAAATCGCCAACGTGAGGTTTGGAGACCTAAAGGTGTTCAGCTCGTACCGGTATTTCTGTAATATCTTCTTTCGCCAACGTCACCACCTCTCAGAGTCCACTATTTATATCTGTGTGTGCGCTGCGGTGTGTACATTGGAATCGAGATACCCGGAAAAGGATCCTCTCGGAGAAGGAACGAAAACCACACATGCTAGAGATGGTGGGAGATGGTGGGAGACTTCCCCCCAAAAAAGAACAAACCACCCCATTCCGCTCACCCGACCTCTTTCTTCTCCCCCCTTCTTCCGCTGTTCGGTCCCGTGACGTCTCTTTGTTCGGTCCCATCCGAAGTGGTCAAACCCGGAGGTTCCCGTGGTTGGTGGCCTCCTGGTCGTTGCAGTACTTATAGGCGACTCGCTTCACCTCGCGGGAAAACACCCCCGGGGCGGGTCCGCCCGTCTCCGCCGTGGCGCAGAAGAATAGGATGGCCATGGATGGCCTTTCAAGTCCAGATGAGAGCTATTCCTTTCCGCAGGATAGGAAAAAACTGAAAAACAATATATACATCGAAGATCCTCGAATTACGATGAATTACTTACACTGCAAGAAAAACACGTCCAATCTTTATGGCATTCTGCTTGCGTTTGCTGCTCGTACCGGTGGCATAAACAGCTAGCAAGAACGAGCTGAAACCGGAAAGAACACATCCCACCAAGCCAAGCCAAGTCGGATTGTGGACTTCACCTGGATCAAATCCATCCAAATCGCTTAGGATAGAATCGGATGATGTGTCACAATGTGTCGCACCCAAAACCAACCGAAAGCTGATCAAAAGCTGGGGATGCCAGGGATGGGGATGAAGACTTTGGAAGAGCACAAGCATTCCCCATCCGGACTGGAATAGTCTTACACACTGATAGGTAATCACGGTATCACATTGTTTCATTTACCCCATCGAAATGACCCATGTAATTCAAAGTTTCAGTATATCCATGGATGCTCCGGCCGAGCGCTTTTCGGACCCTTCACCAGTGAAAAGGCCCCGCGCAAACCAACCTCCACCCCGGCCGGGCGGTCTGACCTCCTCCGCATCCACGGCGTCAATCCGAAGCCTTACAGGGGCGGCGAAGCTCACGTTTCGCCTCTTCGCCGCCGAAGAGCCGAGTTTCGGTTGGTGGAAAAGAGCCGGTGGGGCGACCAGGTACCAGTGGTGTAAGAAAAAAAACTAGGGTTCTCAACGGACTACCCCTACACATCCTGCACGAAATACTTGTGGATCTCCATTGGACTCCCTGAAAAAGGTCCGCAAAGCTACACAGGATCCATCCTCATGCGCACGAAGAATGTCCCGGAAGCATGTCGCGTGTGTCCCACCGCACGTCGCGCCCGCGCCCGTGGTCCCATGGCGTCGTGGTCGTTGGGTTGCCCGACATCATCTCGGCGGGAGGAATGCCACGGCCATAAGCCAGGACTTCCTTACCCACCTGGCGGAGCCCACTCCGTTTCCACCGGTCCGTCCGGGTGCATTTGGTGCCAGCCGCCTCGTGGTTAAAGCCAGTGTTCTGGCGCTCGTGGCATTGAAGGGATTGGTTGGATGGGAGTCGCTGGCGTGACAAATCTAAACAAGTCTATCTATCTATCTAGTCTAACCCATCGATCTATTATATCTATTCTCTATCTATATAATATATATATATATCTATTCTAATCTAATCCATCGATATATTATCTATCTATCTATCTAATGTAATCTAATCTAATCTAATCTAATCCATCGATATATTATCTATCCATTATATATATATATATGTCTATCTGATCTATCTATCTATCTATCTATCTATCTATCTATCTATCTATCTATCTATCTATCTATCTATCTATCTATCTATCTATCTATCTATCTATCTATCTATCTATGTGTGTATCTATCTATCTAATCTAATCTAATCTGATTTAATCCATCGATATATTATATCATATCTATTATCAATCGATCTATCTATCTATCAATCTAATCTAATCTAATCTATCATTTTCTACCTAACCTACCTACCTACCTACCTATCATTACCTATCTATCTATCCAACCCAACCCAACCCAACCCAATCCAATCCAAACCAATCCATCGATCTATCTATCTATCCATCTATCCAATCTAATCTAATCTCATCTATCATTATCTACCTACCAACCTACCTATCCATCCAACCCAACCCAACCCAATCAATCAATCTAATCTAATCTATGGTCTATCTATCTACAGAGCCAACCAAAAAAGGAAAACTCCAGAAACTTCTTGGCGAGCTTCTTGAGTTTGATCCACTCATGCTCCCCCCTGCGGCTCCAACCCACAAACCAAATCTCTATGCGGCCACACCTGATTGCAGCTTTCTTGGGTGCTGCCAGAGCCTCAAGATCAGACGCTGGAGCTGAAGCAGGCATGTGAGCTCCATGCATATCATCTATCAGAACCAAGCTGCACCCTCTAACTCTAGCTAAACACAGTCTGCACATTGAAAACACCATCAGAAAAATGGCAACTTTGATCAACTTTGGTATACACATGTCTTTTGAGATCCAAATAGGCTGGCTTGCCCAAGCAGTTATGAACTTTGTCCGAGCCCAAGCATGTCTATGTCTATTCCAATAGACCCCAAGGCCAGGCCGGGCACAGGGAACCTGTGTTCCTCTGTTCCAAGGCCAATCACTAGGCCAGGCCCTAACACTAACATCCTCAACTTCTCAACCAACACTGCCAACATCGGCCTTCCTAGGCGCCTGCTCAATCTGGAAGAGCAACACATGCATGTTCATGCATGTTCAATTTTCAGCCTTCAAAGCACTAAACTTACCCCATTGCATGCACCCCAAAATACCAGGTGCATGCAGCTAGTCTCAATCAGAAATTAAAAATACTCTCCTAACCTACTCTCCCTGAAATAATCATGGAAGTGAACTGGAAAACGGTCCCTTGGATTATAGTTTTTCTCCACAAGCCGGTGGTTGTCCACTTCCACGTGATGTGTTCGTCGGAGTGTAATGTGCACAGTTCTCCCAAATTTTCCACCAATTTCAAACCCATGTTCCTCCCTCTTCCTCGTGTTTTCATCACCGCCACTAACACGACAGTCAGCGTCCCACACACGCAGAAATCCGGCGATTCAGGTCTTGGTCTCAGATGTCCTATCAATTCTCAGAACATGGTGCAACCAAAAACAAGAAAAACCACCCAAAACAACACACAAAAACAACACAGGTTCAGTTCTCTTTAAGAAGAAATAACTGTACAAAGGTTCAGGTTTACGGTCTAAATTCCCTCTTTCAACAGTTCCAATTGTTCGTGTTTTTGTTTCCATTTGGAGTCCCACGAGGAGTAGACAGGGGCGGGCCTCCCGGGGCGGCCCCTTTCGTGGGAGGACCAAACCGCCCCCCTTCCAAGTTCGGGCGACGAATGAATCAAAACTCCCCAGTTGGATTGACTCTACCCTTTCCATCTATCATTCTATATATTTATTTATTATCATATATTCAATATATCGAACATATCATGATCTTCATCTGGGTGGGTTTTTATCAAAAGTCTACATGACCCACAGCTAGATGGAAGTCCAACTCTGATGCTTTAAAAGGAAACAAACAGACCTCTGGCGGACGATGACCCACATGAACCCCCGACTCCCCCCGACTCGCACGCACTAGACGCGCTTCAAATAAGCGTATAGACGTAGACGTTGGTTCCGAGGGGCCGTTCACCAGGGAGGCCTTCAGCTCACGTTTGGCGCGCTCCACCTAGGAGACGAGAGTACCGGAGACGAGGGGAGACGGAGACGAGGAGCTCTACCAGCGATGGAGCGTTGTTTGAAGAGACGAGGTCGGTGGTGCGATGGAATTGGCAAAGGAGAATGTGACCATATGTGTGATGAGAATGTGCTTTGTCACGACGGCTATGAGCCTAAGTGGAAGTATTGGGGACGTTTGATGAAATCAAAGACCCCCATGTTTTTGTACCGCGACGTGCGGACTGTATGAGAGTCACGGCCGGATTGGCAGTGTTCGTTCACACCCCTTAACAATCCAAATGGGCCGGTTATAGATCAAGAGTCTTGGGAAGGCCGTAATATGGGCCTTGCAATTCTTCTGGTTGGATCAATGATGAATCAATATCAATCATGAGAGAACATCTGGTCAATTTGTCTACACTCCCTGAAACAATCATGGAAGTGGAACATAGGCCCCTGGAAGACCACTTTCCTCTACAAGGGGGTCCTGGTCAGCTCCCATGATTGTTGGAGGGAGGGTAGATTTAGTACAATAAAAAACGCATATGAAGCAGCAGCCGGCTCTCCGGCTTTATGTTTCCATGGCTAACCTGCCCTCCTATAAGCGAGATCTGAGGCTCTTGAAGAATTCTATGGCTCAAAGGGGTCTAAGTCTAAAAGCATCTAAAAGCTGCCTTTCTGAAACCATGCACTCACTCTCTCGATGACTTTGGTCGATGACAAGCACAAAGGATCCGGCTGAGCCCTAGCCCTAGTCGTGTCTAATTAAGCAAACTGGTCGCGTTTCTGAAAACAACACGCTATTGGCCCGACCTCCAGGCCAAACCCCTGAACCCGAAAACCCATTCTTCTTTTTGCCCCTCGCGCGTGTTCTTCCCGTTGGCACCTCCTCGTCCGTCACGGAGAAGGAGAGCAGGTTGATGCCGAACATCAACTCACCAACGGCGTGCTCCACCGCCACCTCTGGCCACCGCAGCGGTTCGCAGTCGACCACGTTGCCAAGTCGACCACCGTGCTCCACCGCGCTCACATCAACGGGGAAGACCACCGCGCCGAACGGAACGACCCGGTCGCGACCCGGTCGCGACCCGTCGTGTGACACGAAGGGATTTCAAGTGACCATCTGGCGCGAAAGGGTGGTCTAGACAAGGCCATCCCAGTGGCGCGAACTGAGAAAACAAGCACGTGCATTATTAATGTTCTGACATAGGATGAACAATTCCTGCCATCTCGTGCTTTCACGTTCTCGTGGTACCTAGGATTGGCCCACCGAACCCCAACAGCGCTTTCCGGGCCTCATCACAAACGGTGTAGAAGCCAAACCTGGAGCCAGAGCTGCATGCCGCATGCTGCCGCAGTGCCAATGGGCCCAAAACATCTTCACATCTTCCGCCCAAACCCCTCAAAATCCGGTTTTACCAGCAAGCTCCACCAGGTCATCCCTTGCAAAACTCCACAACCTCCAGCAAAGATCTGTTGACAGTCGTTGATGATGATGATGATGACAGGGACTGTCAGACTTGGAGGTCCAAGTAGCGGACGTTCGATCGGAGAGTTGCAACCAATTACCTGCAACCAATCTGTGATTCCAGTTGGTCTAAATCTGTGATTCCAACAACCAGTTGGTCTAAATGTTGGACCGGTCCTGAATCAATCTGTCAAATATTCCATTCACAGTGTGTGATTCATGAGACTCTCAGAGGTCTGTGCAAGAAACAAGCTGGGGAAATGTGGAAACATGTGGAAACCCTTCCCTGCAAGTCCCTCAAACGGCCAAAGAGAATTGATGTCAGTGACTAAGCCGCCGACACACCAGTATCCTTGTAGAAATGCATGATGGTTTCATATTCCTGCGCCATGTCCGTCAGATCATGAGCGAGATCCCTTGAGGATCTGAGAGAAACCGGAGAAACAACTGCAACCAGATGGAGTAAGGGACCGGTGTAGCCAACTATACGGCTCTATAATGGGTCAAAATCCAATATCATTCATGATCTGGGGGTTCTAAGGTTCTGACATGCTTTTACACATCTGAATATCTCCCTAAATGGTCAGAAGTTGTTTGGCCTGATGACTCTGGGCTGGACCAGTCAATTCTCGACTGTGCCCCCCTCGTGACTGCAGTAGATGTCGATGGATGTGGCCATGATGTGGCCTCTATGGCACAAGTGCCAAACCCACGATTTACATTCATTTACATGTACCGTGTTGAACTGTTGACCGCCTTTCATCCTGGTGGTTTCATTGGTGGTGCAGGAGCTCTTCTTCTTCTTCTTCTTCTTCTTCTTCTTCTTCTTCCAGCAGCGCCCAGCGAGAGACAGGAGACGCTTCCGCCGTTCGGATGCCCTTCGATCGCCCCCAAACGCCCTGGCTCGTCTCATCCGCTTCGGCCGCAGGGGAGGCACCCACGGACACCGCGGTCGGGTCGGTGGAAGGTTTCGGTCCGAGGTGATCCTCCCAACGGCTGCGGGAACGGCGCCACGGACGTCGGACGGACCCCTCCTCGGCACATCCCACGCCTCAAAGGCAGAGGCAGGGGGCCGGGGGCTGTGAGTTTCACACAGGTGGATGAGAAGAGTCCTGTGGGATTTAACATCATGGAACCTCTATGCATCTGTGCTACCTGAGGTCACTTGAGGCTGGACCTGGCACTATGTTCAAAAACTGGTTCCCAACGGCCGCGTAGGACGGAGAAAAAGGTCTAGAAAAGCCCAACGGCCGCGTCACAACGATAGGAGGATCTCCCGAAACGCTGATACTCCAAACTTTGGAGGAATATGGATGCTGCAAAACAACCACGGCCGGAGTCCAGGTCAAAGCAGTTGTAAAAGTGGTGCTTATGGAGGGGTCTGGGGCCCGCCCTGGTCTTCAAATGTCTCAAGTCTGAAATGATTCGATAGAAAATGGTCCATCCAAGAGAAACCTTAACCTTCCAGAAGTGCCCAGGAAAGGGCGCTGGGACTCCTGCGCAACAAATACAGTATCTGGACCATACGTGCTACGGATGCTAAAGGTACCAAATGGAAGCTCTAGCCGAGTATTTTGTGGGGAGTCAGGCAGGCTGAGTCAGGTAGTCCAAGTGACATCAAAGGGTACTCGCATGATGATGGGGTATGCCTTCAAACTTCAAACCAACACCCGCCGAAAGAGGAACAACTGGTGAAGGATGATAATCTTCGAATCAACCATCAAATAGTCCTACTTGGCAGGGCAATGGTGAAGTTGCATGTATGTCAAGAACATGAGAACGAGTTAACTCGTTCTCCTTGTTCCTTGTGGTTTCGAAAGAGACTCCCGATATTCAAAATTTCAGCTCGAGAAACACAAGATTTCCTGCAACCCGATTGGGGGGGGGGCACCTCCCCCTTCAACAACGCTCAAGCAGTCCCTCTCCTTTCAGTTCCTCGGTCCCGGGCCCATTTTGTTGGCCACCGCATTGATGGTGCGGTTCCCTGTTTGGTCGGCACGAGATGGCATGAGGGAAGCAGTAAATCAGATTGTTCAAACAGAAAACCTACATATTGGAGCTTCAGAAATCAAACATCAGACTCGATTTCGCTCAAAAAATGAACATGTTCCTGAAACGCTTTCGTTGGGGAAGCTGGATCCAGGAACCTTGGTGAGTGGATCATGGGCATCCAAAGAGATAAAGACTCGATCTTATTTTTGGAGGACTCATAAAGATAAAGACTCGATAAACATCGATAAACACTGATTTGGGAGCTTTATCATTGTGGCACATATATTGTCTTCATCAATCTTCGTTTCTTGTGCCCTCCGATCTGTGTTCACGCCCGCCCACCGGATCTCGGAGCTGCTAACCAACCCCACCGGATCTCGGAGCCACCGAAAAAAAAAAAAAACAAAAAAAACACAAAACACGAACAGAACCCTTCCCACAAACCAAAACGAGCCACCGGTTGAAAACCGGCCTGAAATGGTGCCCGGCACCAGGCCAGTGTTCTTCTTGTACTTACCAATGATGGCCTGACGTCCGACTGGTCCCAGGTGACGGGTCGGTTCCGGTAGCGAGGGAGCCCCGGACCGCTCGAAATAGGCTCAATACGGCTGCCTTTGCCTGGCTTTGGCATCCTTGCGCATGCTTGCGCTTTCTTGTACATGGAATAGGACAATCATGGACATGCTCAGCAAGAGGGGGGGTTCGATATTCATGCGATTTTTCGGCCGACGACCTACCCTCATCTCCCCGCCAACAAGGTTGCTCGTAGGGGTTCCTAAAGGTCCAGCCAACATCTGCTTCAGGACTGGGAATGATTTGTCTCTTCCAAACTAGTACCCATACACTCCATGGGACTGCCATATATGCCTACATTGACTCCCCAAACCACTCCCTATCGAACTCTGGTGCTGGTGCGACCTTTGCGCATCGGTCGAATGATGACCTCAACCGACCCGGCGCCGCCCGGCGACCAGGTTTTCCTTGAACGAGCCATAAGTGCCACCTGTGAGAGCAACAAAGCAACAAAGTGAATCGCCCTTGCGATCCACAGTCCCGGAACTATTTTCCAAGGCCTGTAATGTTTATATATATATATGGCTCATTCTGGCCGATTCAGACCTCCCAAAAACCGTCTTCGCGTTGCAACACATCGTGGATCATCATCGGTTCCCGGTGACCCTCGGCGACCCTCGGGTCTGGTCTTGAACACTGCCACGTCGCGGTCCTGAACACTGAGAGAGTCTTTCTCGAGGAGACCACAATCCCAGCGAAAAAAACAGCTGGTGCATTCGGAGTGGGAATCTTGTGCATTCCACAACAGATCCCCAAAGTGAAGAACAGAGGGCAATTCTCATGGAACGGAATCTTCTCCGCAATGGCCGGTTCTGATCCCCTCGCATTCGGCGGCACGGTACCGTAAAGAACCGCTGCAGGGCTCCGCACCTGCATGACCATAAAGGTCACTGCGTCAGGGCCTGGGAGCTAAGATTTCGTGGATTCAGGACTCAAACACCTTGGGAAGTTGACAATTGCCTTTCCCTATTTGGAAAAAAAAGCATATGTAATCATATGTATAAACATTAGATATATATAGATAGATAGATAGATAGATAGATAGATAGATTGATCGATTGATTGGTTGCTTGGTTGGTTGGTTGGCTGGTTGGTTGGTTGGTTGGTTGGTATAAATAAATGAATAAGACATAGATTGATAGATAAATGGAATGGATAGAATGGAATTCTTTGGATTCCTATATGAATTGCATTGAATTCCTATCCCAGCACCCTGCCAGGTCTCCTCCAAAGGGTTGGGCCTTAACAGGGCTCAGCTGTTGGAGGGAGTTCTGCTATGGATTTTCTTGGACTCTTTGATAAATGGTTTCAAGTTTGTGTGTTCCTCTTCGGCAAGGTGACGTTACTTGTACTAATTTGGGCTGGGAATTGAACCCAAAGGGTAAGGCAGACCAGGCGATTAAATGGTTCCGTTATGTTCCCTTGATCAGAAAAGCGCTCGCTCCTGGTGATGGAGAACCATGTGTTTCCTCCAATAGAAATGGATGTGGTCAAAGAGAAGAACGAGATCGATATACTATAACTATCATACTCAAAGTGACTAACATGATACTATGGCAAACGACTGGAACGATCCAATGGTCACAACTATATGTGTATAATCCAACAGTTATACATCAATACAGAGATGTAGTAGGCCAAACTCGCACACATGTTGATCAGAGTTGAGTATAGATCAACTACATGCATGCTGACTCCCAACAAATCTCCGGTAGATTTGGTAGCTGGGGGGCAACAGTCCGACGCACATCTTATTATGACAGGGGAAGCCAAACGCTCTGCTGGTTGATTGGTGGTGTCAACTCATTTGCTCATTTGAAACATGTTGGTCGGTTAAGGTATGCATGTATGTTAAGGATTGCTAAGGTTGAAAATGAACATATCCAACACCACCTGGTCTTTCAATCGAACATCCCACCGGTCGGAGGTTTTTGTTTGTTTAACTTTCCTTGGGCACCAGGCTCTTGTATGGCACGGCCTCCCATCCAATGGAGATATATGCCAATGGCCCCATCTCGTCGTTACGATAGAGCAGCTGGCGGTCGCTCGGAGCCGAGCTGGATCGACCCGTTTCAACCCTCGACCTCCAAGTGTTTAGGACGGAAGGGACCACCAAATACCACCAGGGGTGTGGATCTATTTGGAGAATATATCATATATCCCCTTGCCAGAGCCCAGTGGATGATGGTTAGGTTGCAGCTGCAGACCTTTCCTCAAAATAGTGATCATCTTTTCCTGATGGTTACTGGTATTGGGGTACACACCAGAAATAGACCTTGGCTGCAGGTTCAAATCCATATTGACCATGCAGGAACAACTCCCAAAGTCTATAGAGTCTTGATCTTGCCAGCAAGTCCCTGGGCCCGTGCCAGGAGCTACAGCTATGGGAACGACACATGTTTGACCTGTGGTTGGAAGATTGGGGTCCATATTTATTGTGAGGTACTCTTGATGGTTTTTCAACCCCCCATAAGCAGGGAATGAAGCGGCCTCCTTGAATCACATTCTTCAGCTCCTTGACCGATTCAATCCATTCGCACTTCAATGGCGAACGGTCCGGTCGGGGACTCTGCAGGGACTTGATGGCTGTGGGATGCCATGAACTCACCCTGTTCGACCTTCCAAACCTCGTCTATTCTCTTCGTGTTCAATGGTCAACTGGTCGTTTTTCGGTAGGTGCCATGACCTACAGCCATAATATGGGTACCATTCTGTTTGAGGCCAAGAAGGAACGAACTTGGAGGCGCCCCAAAATGGCCGGATCCGAAGAACAAGGCACTCGACTGTCGAGCATTGGCGGTGTAATATAGTATAATATAACGTTCAAGATCTTTCAAGTATATTACGTTACAAAACTCGACCAACCACATCAGCAAGTGTGGTCTCCACACTTGCTCGCCCCTTCTGAAATTGTTAGAAACCGGCCCCTTTCGTTGTTCTCTTCTTCTCGACCCTCGTTTTGGTCTTCGCCCAGCCGAAGCTCCCGACATCGCACCGGGAGCACCGACCATCGCGCCGCAGAAGTAGGGCTTGGAACCATAGACCTTCGGTGCACCCGCCTGAGGCCGAGCATTGAAGCTGACTTGGGATCGGTAGTCGGTTGGGGCTGACTTGGTCGACTTCCGGATATGGATGGAAGATTTCGCCGACGACCCCTCAAAAAATCTGTGACCCATCCATGTATATAGGGGTTTAACCCATGTACAAAGAATGTCAAGCATATCTTTCAAGTTCTATGGATTCTTTGTTTGCTTGGCATTCTCGCCTCCACCAGGCGATGTTCCGCTCCAAGTCACGTGGCTCGTCCACCCGGTCCCGTCTCGGGCGAGCCACGGGTGGGAGGTGCGGACCGGCCTTGACTGCGCCAAAGGATTTCTCGGCGAGCTTCACCAACTCCGCATGCTTCACGGCTCCTATTAGGAAGGGACGGAGGGCTCCGCATCGGAGAACGCACGTGGGAGCCGCAGGAAGTCAGGAAGAGTGAAGTGAAGCTATCTGAACGTCCTGCCTGGTGGAAGAAGGGAGTTCAATCTTGGTGGAATGCTATCTTTTTGCTCGTTTGTTGAACGGTGCATGATGCAAAAAGAATCAATCTCCACAGCCTGCAAGTAATAGTTTTAGACCTCCCATCAAGTCTTTGTTTGTGGCTGATATAAGGGTCCACCTTTCCTGGTTCCATTGCTGCCCTCCTTCAATGCTTTGCCTGCTTCCAATGGGCAGCTGCAGAAACAGAGTAGACACAATACACAACATGTCCCAGAGAATGTTGACCAACGGCTTATCCTTGATCAGTGGCATTCATCCACTTGAGCGGCTGACTTGCAATCCCCTCTCCTGCTTCCGACTCCGTTTTCAGATCGTGTCGTGTCGGGACCTGTCGCTGGGCACCTCCGCACCTCCGCACCTCGGATCCTCCGATCCTCCCGAGCCCCCGGCCCGTAGCACCGGGTCTCCTGATGCAGCGACCACCATCTTGTCAGCTGTGAAGTTGCTCTCGACGTGTTGCTTCAAGTGCTCCTGGTGGATCTACCATGAATCCAGGCCCCCGGAAGGTGTGTTTCCACCATGTTGAACTGTTGTTGAAAGAATTGCTCATGTCAGTCACCACATGTCACCACAGTCCAGTCCCACACCACACCACCCATTCTTGGAGCATTCTTCCGGCGGAAAAAAAAGAAACATGGACCGAAATGATCCCCACCTCCAGTCGTACCTCAGGTTACATGACTTCGGTCCCACTGGACATGACTGGACCCTCCACCCGCCGACTCCGCAACTGGGAGCTCAGAAGGCAGTCCGACTGGGCCCGAGTGCGACCCGACTCCAGGTTCTCGCCGACCTCCGGGTCTCCGCTTCTCTCCTGGCTGATGTTCTCAATCCCCTCGAAAGGCCCCGTAGTCGCGAAGCCCAAGGAGTAGTCTCGGAAGGCACAAGCGTGGAGCCTGCAGGGTCCGGGTCCGCCGCCCCAAAGCCATGGGCTGGTGGTTTTGAGATCCAAACGACTTGAACATTAGTCAGGGGGATATACCCTTTGGGTGGTGGCTGTTCAAATCTGAACTTCTAAAACAATGCCAGGGATCAATCTCCAAGTGTCAGCTACACAGGGAGTTCCACAGGCAAGAATCAAGCATGCTTCATGAAAGTTCATGATGTGAGCCAAAGGGATTCATTCACGACGCTTTTCAGATCACTTTCATCAGATCCTTTAGCCCCAAAGAACATGAAAAGGTGGCCCCTCCATGGTGACAGACCACCATGGGGTGTTCTTCGATCGGCGTTTCGCGGGCGAACTCGCCGGTGGAACTTCACCCCGAGTCGGAAGGACCTCCACCAAGCTATTGGGTTTTGGCGGAGTCTCAGGGAAGTACCTGAGAAAATGGCTACGTACGTCGTACCTGTTTTTTTCATGTCACATGTCCTATTATAGTATCTATGTCTATTAGTCGTATTTTCTAGGGTACTTTGAAGGGTCCAGGTAGTGGGGAGACCAATCCCCCAAAAAGGATTAAAGGCGATCCAATGACAGTACAGGGTAGGGATCCACATCGCTGCAATGGCCTGTCATCAATCACTTTGCGTGTGTCCTGCGGTGTCTCCTGGCAGCAAGCGGCCAACGCACACCCCCTGCAGCTGGGGAAGAGGGTTTCGCTGAAATTGACAGCAGCATCCATCCACCTAAAATTCTATCCGATTTCTGAAAAAGCCGTCCACCCGGTCCCTCTCCCATAAAACAGAATGCTGCAAAAACACTCCATGTATGCCATATTTGCCTGAATTGGGGTGTTTGGGGGGTCAATGTACAGGAAAGGTACTCAAGATGATCAAATTGCTAACCCATCGAAAAGGATGATCTCCAGAAGTGTGGCGTTTCATGCGGGGAACGGTGAACGGTCGTTTTTTTTATTCACAGATTCTTCGACGGAATGAACTCTCCAGTCGTGGCTGGACCTCTGGACTCAGGGGTGGCACAGGCACGAAAAAATGCCTGGAAAGCCCGATGTCGCAAGGAGGCTCCACAAAGGTATAGTAGCTTCTTGTTCCTAGTAGTACGGCCAGGAGCCCCTAGTAGCTTCTTGTTCCTAGAAGCAAAATCTTTGAACTGCATGATGAGTAATTCGTGACTTCTCCACTGATAGTGGAACAAGGATGTATTAAAGACTTCCATCGACAGGTCCCTTTTCGTGTCAGACTACAACCAAAAAAGCCCAACAAGATCCAACAATTACAGTATAAGAATGCAGTAATTATTGAGTCTTTCATCCACCTTTTCATCCACGTACCATGGGCCATGAGTGACTGATTCCCAGACGGACACCTGTTGGTGAAATCCGATGTCTTAAACCAAAAGTGCTTCTTCGAAAGAACCAACAGAAGATAGGTGGTGAAGGTGAAACGGTCTTCACTGGATCAGTCCTCGATCTTCCTCAAGATATTCTGCTTCTCCTTGGCATAGTTGGCCAACGCCTCGGCTCGAGCCGTGGGACGAGCGGTGCGAGGCCTTGGACCGGCTGTCCCGGTGTCATGGACCGGTTCAGGGGGGAAAAGGGGGTCCCATGGGTCAGGGTGAACATCCATCAGCCCATCTGACCTCACTCGTTGCGGCGGGAACATGGGAGGCAGCCCAGTGGATGATACTCTTCGTAGGTTTACTGAGCCACACTAGAGGTTGATCTTCAACACAATTTGTTAGTCATGTTTTCCCAGTGCAGCTCAACAAATGAGAAGTCCACCAAACATGGAGGTGTCTGTCTCAACAGTGTCAGTGTCAGAAACAAAAACACACACAAACTATAAATCCCATGAAATATATGCCTACATTGAAACTGATTCCTAAAACCAACCCAATGTGGGTAAATATGCCATACCGCCATATAGTTACATGGAGTGTCTGGGAATGGGTCATGGAAAATTGTTGCAGAAATACAAAACATCGGCCCGGTCAATTACCCAACAAATGGCCCGTAGACTCACATTTTCAGCTGTGGACTCACGGGACGTCAATTGGCACATCAATTGACTATATATATATATATATACATCACATCACCTTGATTGGTGGACAATTGTTGAGTCACTTTGAGATTCGAGTGAAGGTCGCTTTCCTCCCACGGTGCGACTGTCCTTGTTTTGCGCGAGGGGACCACGTCCCACGCTCGTTGTGCAACTTCTGCCGGGAGACCGGTTTGGTCGCCAGATCGGCCAGGATCTCCACACCCTAAAGGTGGTGGTGGACAAACGTGCCAAGGTCCCAAGGTCATTAGGTATCCTGACCCTAAATTAGAAGAGAGAAATATGTATTTAATGTACATGTAAAGATTCACTGTGATTCACCTTTTTGGGTTTTCAGTGCTTTCACGTGAATTGGGCTTTGAGATGTCTGGGCAACTATTTCAAAACATACTGTACTCCGAAGGGCATACCCCTCAGGCCACTCAGGCACAGGCGAAGTTAATGTTCAGTACTGTAGATGTCCCGGAAAAAATCACACACATGGACACATGGAATACCAAGAGT